TATTATCTTTTAAATAATATATTATATTTGTTCAAAAACTTTTACTTGACGTATAAATATTAAATTAATTAGATTTTTTTGAGTTATTTATTAATATACCAATATTAAAAAATTATAGAACACAATTCATTTCTTTAACATTTTAGAGAGAACTTTAAAAAATAGGTATTTTTTTTGAACGGCATAAAATAAGAAGTGTTACCTTTTTTACAAACAAAATATATCTCGAAAATAATGTAACATATTACTTAAGAAATTTTTTACTCTAGAATATTTAATTTGCATACAATTTAATAAGAAAAAGTTAAAAAAAATTAAATGTTTTTTTTAAATCATAGCAATGAGTAATGAAAATCACTAATAATTTGAAATAGGTTTTTATTTTTTATTTTAATTAAGTCATCAAAATGATGTGTCATCCACATCACCTTATTAAAGCCACACAAGCAAAAAAAGTCAAAGGGTTAACCGGTTTAAAAGGTAACAAGTTACTCATTGCTATAATGGGTAGATTTTTTAAAGTACGATGCCTTAATAAAAAATAATTTGAAAGTACGTTGTTGTAATAAAGAAAAACAAAAGTAGAATGCTATAATAAGAAATTTTATGAAAGTAGGTTGCTATTTCATTCATTTAACCCTTTTGAAAATCAGGTAAGTTTAATTTCTAGCTAAATAATTGATCAAATGTGAAAATGTTAAGTGTATTGGCAACAATACAAAATTTTTTTGCATTTCTGGAATATAATCTACTACGTCGTTGACTAACTGCCACGAACCTCCACCAAAAACATTTACTCTAACTTTCTCAATCACAGACACTGATCCTCGAGAATTTGGAGATATTAATTTTTGTTTTGGAAAAACTGGATTAAAACGTATATATCTCATATTTAGAAACACTTAATATATATAGTGGGTTGAGGAGGAAAAAATAATAATTTGAATGATACGTACCGGGAAGGAACAAATGTGAAAATAAATAAATAAAAAAGAAATGGAGATGGGGCCCTTACGCACCGTGCAACCAGCCGGTGCGTAAGGGTGGGGCCCACCGGTCGCATCGGTCAGACGGTGCAGTTAATCAGGTCAGGGGTCAAGGTCTTACATTTTTTTTTATTGCAAAATGGTCCCTACACACACGGTATGTAATGTAGGGTTAGTTTTTAAAAGTTTGAAATTTTAAGGTTAAAAGTGTAATTGTTTACATTTATTGGGTTATTTTGACCATGAACCCGTTAGATAAGAGCATCAATCATCACAGATTTCACCTCTTGTTGGACAACAAAAGTTTTCACTTCTTGTCACTTAAAAAAAACAAACAATCTGAAAACTTAAATGTCTTGTTCAATAAGACATAAGAGCATTTACAACAGATTCTATAAAATAGAGAAAATGAAGATTTATAATAAAATTTTGCTTTTTCTCCAAAATGGAGAAAGCATGAAAGAAGATGTGAAGTTATGCAAATTTGGAGAAATTCCCTAAAAATGATTACTTTGACAGAGAAACAAATTTTATTATATTTCGACCAATAATAACGTAGATGTTAAATGTTTACGAGAGAATAATACTATTTTATTACATATATGAAATATTTTAATAATATAATTAATAACGCAAACTTCAAAATAAGGAATCTATTGAATATAAATGTAATTTTTGTTTATAGAGATTTCTTGAAGAATCTTCCAAGAAAATGGTAAAACTTTTCTTATAAAAACAAATGACTTTTTGTATTTTTGCTTGTCACATTATTTTCATGTCATTAAATTAAAAATCTACATAAAATTTACGGTGTTAGTTCTTAAATAAGCATATCCAAGAGAGTTCTTATAAGAACTCCTTTTGTAGGTCCTATTTATTTTTTCAACATCAATAATATTATTAAAAACTATTAAAATGTCAAAAATCTATATGAAAAACTAAAATGTCATTTCACATAAGGGGGATTAATTGTTAGACATGGCAACAGGGTGGGGATGGGGCAGGTTCGCCCGGCCCCGATTTTTAGTAACAACCCCCGACTCCGGTCCCTGCAGGTACAAAGGATTAACATCATGTCTCCAGTCAAACCCCTGTCAAACCTCGGTCAAACCTCATAAAGAATATCCGTTAGTTTGAGTCTACCAGGGATCCACGATCTCGACCTCAACTCCTGTTTGAGTAACAGCCCCCGTGTAACACTCTAAAATAAGAGTAATTGAAATAAGTGGAATATTGAAGATTTATTATGTTTTAGTTAATTGAATTAATATAATAATAATAATAATAATAATAATAATAATAATAATAATAATAATAATAATAATAATAATAATAATAATAATATGAAAATTTTAATTTTAATTGAAATGGCAATTCAAAAAAAAAACGGGGGAAGTTGGTTTTTAAAATTTAAATAATTCCTTGATTTATGCAAAAGAAGTTGTTTGGAAGGATAATAAATATTTTTAAAAAAAATTGAAGAGGGTATATAAATAGGTGTGTGTAGTAGCCATTCTAAAGGCTTCAAGAAAAGAAAAAAAAAGAAAGACGGGAATTCGGGGAAGAACGAGACTGCGAATCGAGGGTGAGAATTCGGTTTCATAAGCGTTCAAGCATCGATAAGATTATTAGTCAGGTGAGTCTTCATGAGATTTTAATTGGGATGCATGCTTATGTACAAATTATTTGAGCATTACAATATTTTTTTTTTATGTACATGTTTATGGGTTTAATACATGTATATGAATTATTATTGTGGGTTGCATGCTATTTGTTTGCATGTTTTCTTTTAAAAACATCAATTAGCATGCTATTTTATTTTGTCGGGTATGGGAAGGGGTCAAAAGTCATAAGGGATGGTACATCCTAGGGAGGGGTAACCGGACAAGGGATAGTCGTGTAACCCGGGGAAGTGCCGATGACGGTAAGACCTTAACCCGACGAAAAATTAAGAGATCTCATTATTATTTCAAAAGGGTTTAAAACAAATGTGCATATTATTTTATTTGGAGTATTGTTTATTTTATGCATGATGTGAAATGTATGATTGTGCATGAAAACCATGAACTCACCGAGCTTTATAAAGCTGACTATTAGTATGCATCTCAGGAGCTGGGTATTCAAGAACGGAAAAGGGCAAAGGTTCTGCGTAGGAAATATAATTTTTATTCGAGTTATGAATTATAAAATTCGTATTAGCTTAATTGAATTTATGTGTAATGTAACCCGATATGGGATGGGTTAGTAATGGAGATCTTTATTTATGATTAAATTATTGTAAGACTTCCGCTGCGATAAGGCTTTATTAGCCGCTAGAATTTGGATCTTATTTTATTTTATTACGTGGCACCTTGTAATTGAAATGAGAGTGTTACAAGTTAGTATCAAAGCTATTAGTTTAAGAGAAATAGGTATAAAATAAATAAATATATATATATATATGTACGTATATAGCCTAAGCTTAAACTTGTGAGGTGTTTAGTATCACTATATACGTTACAATTAAGTTTGATTTATTAATGTGTGACTTAGTGTTTTCCTTGTGGTTTTGTAGGAAGATGATGCACACTATTCACACTAGGGCTATTAACCGTGGGAGAGGACATGGGCGCAGAACTGTAGGATGGAGGGTACCATTCGGGCTAGGCCCGCATTGTGAAGCATTGATAGTCGTCACACCAGTGTGACTCCTAGTTGGAACCGCATACCCAGGGGTGACAGTCCAACATCCCTAAGGAGTAACCCAACTCAGGGTTCGTTTCAAGGGACACCTGTGATAGCGCAGCCTGCCACGTGCTCCAATTTGGAAGAAAGGATAGAATCCCTGCAAAGAGAGAAAGTTGAGTTGTGGAATAAGTTGGCTTACCTCGAGTAGGACAATGATAGGTCTAGGGGAATGCTCGACAACCTACAACGAGCTCAAATAAGGCTGATAACAGAGAGGGATAACCTACGAGGAGAGAGACATCTTTTGAAACTAAAGTTGGCTCAAGAACGAAGAATTGTCGGCCGGTCATGGTGCACTCGGGTAAGGGATAGGACCAGCTTTTGCAAGATGGTAACTACGGAGTATGTCGGGATTGTGAAAGGATATTTTGCTGCATGGGTCAAAAATTTCAAAATGGGTCCAAGGGCAAACCCATTATGGAAATTCAAACCATCGTTGACCTATGCACAGTGGATTAGAGATCCCTACCTTCCCGAGATGCCTTAGGGATATGGATAGCCATAAAGAGAGAATTTTTTTTTAGTATTTGAATTGATGTTTAGCTTGGGATGTTTTTGCTAGTTAATACTTTGATGACGATTTAGTAATCCCGAATTTTGATAGCTATAGTAGACTTATGTATTGATTGTCTCTCTTTTTGAATCCGTGATATGAATAATAAATTATGGCTTTATGGTTTGAAATGGTCGTAGCCGTTTCTTTCTTTTTCTTTTCTCAGTGGTTGCATGTATTTAGTAATTAGATTTTAATATCACACTACTATATTCAGTATGGTATCATGTGGATCCACAAGAAATGCCACTATCAGGGAGGGAGTTGGAAATCAACCACCACCAACAGGAAGAGGCCGCGGTCGCAGTCGAGATCGTGGCCATGGTCGCGGTAACACGGCAAGCTCAAGTGAAACTTTTTCTGTGGATGCAAGCTCGGCCACCCGTAGGGTACGAGAGCAAAATCAATGAATTGGAAGAGGAGAAAACGACGTTACCGATGAGGCACTAACTAAAAGGATGACACGAGTCCTCCAAAATACCCTTCCAAGCATGCTAAAAGCCATATTAGGTGATAGGTTCAAAGGCCCTGAAGAGGAAGAGGAAGCAAGCACCCAGAAAGAGAAGACAATGAATAACTCCCAACCCACTGAAAAAATGGAGTCGTCCGTCCAAGGGAAAGATGAGCCACCAGTGCAACTGAGGGTGGAATCCCAAACCAAGGAACGGGGTTGCAGTTACAAGACTTTTAGTAGCACCCGTTCGAAGGAATTCAGAGGTATTGAGGGCCCGGTAGCCCTAATGAACTGGGTGACTAAAATACAAAGCTGTTTTAAGATTTGTAAGTGTTCAGAAGAACAAAAAGTGACTTACGCTGCTACTACCTTTGGAGATTCAGCACTTCATTGGTGGGAGACTGAATGCGCCATTCGAGGGGATGAAAACATCGCTACCCTGACCTGGGAGGAAATAAAGAAGATGTTGATGGATAAATATTGTACACAGACAGAGGTGAAGAAGTTAGAGTCAGAGTTTCTGAGGTTGGAGCAAGGATCTTTGTCGGTTCAAGAGTACGTGAACAAATTTCTAGAGAAGGCTAGGTTTGCTAGTTATCAGGTGGCAACTGAGCAAAGAAAGATAGATCGATTTAAAGATAGCCTAAGGATAGAGATAAAGCAGTACGTGGATATGGTTAAACCAACCACGTTTGTTCAAGCTGTGGAAATGGCGACTGTTACGGAGGAAAATAACATCAAGGCAACAAGGGAAAGAAGGGAGGTCAAAAGGAAATGGGAAGCATCAAGTAAATTGACAAAGAAATCCAAGGGGGAGATGACAGATACGAAGGCACGAAATGGAGAGTTCACAATTCCTCAGTGAACCAAATGCAATCGAAGACATAGGGGTGAATGTTGGGCTGCAAAAGTGACGTGTTTTTTATGCGGAAAACCCGGGCACACATCAAGGGAGTGTACTGAAAGCAAACTTTGCTATGATTGTGGGGCATCARGTCATATACGGTCTGAATGTCCTAAAAACCAAAAGGGGACCATAARCAATGTTRGARTTTCAAGTAACGGGTCAGGAAGAGGGGCGGAGAAGAGGAAGGAACTACCTAAGGGACCAGGATGAGCATACAACATGACTTTGGAGGAGGCTAGGGAGTCTCCTGACGTCGTATCGGGTATGTTTCTTGTAAACAATGTTTATGCTCATGTACTGTTTGATTTGAGTGCAAATGGTAGTTTCGCGTCTTCTACTTTCCGCCACTATTTGAATAAGGATGCTTGTAGACTAGGGAAGAGCTATACTGTAGAAACCGCTGACGGCAATCAAGTTAAAATAGATGAAATAGTTTATGGGTGCACGATCTGTATAGATGGTAGAGAATTGCCTGTTAGGTTAATGCCTATATGTTTAGGAGGTTTTGATGTGGTTCTAGGAATGGACTGGTTATCCGAAAACCAAGCACAAATAGTGTGCCACCAAAAGATGATCAAAAGTCAAACCCCCCGAAGGGCAAACAATTCATATGTATGGCGATCGTAGGAAGTGTGGTACGGGGATCATCACAACACTAAAAGCGAGAAAGTGCCTTCAGAAAGGGTGCACTGCTTATCTAGCGTATGCGGTCGATGCTAAGTTAGAAAAGGGAACGGTACAAGGGGTACCAGTGGTAAACGAGTATCCAGAAGTTTTCCCGGATGAACTACCAGGAATACCACCAGAACGTCAAGTTGAGTTTCGTATTGACTTAGTGCCAGGTGTGGCTCCTGTTGCACGAGCACCTTATCGGTTAGCCCCAACATAGATGCAAGAGTCGATGAAACAACTTCAGGAGTTGTTAGACAAAGGGTTCATCAGACCAAGTTCATCACCATGGGGAGCACCAATCCTATTTGTAAAGAAGAAAGATGGCTCAATGCGAATGTGCATTGATTATCGCGAGCTTAACAAGCTCACGATCAAGAATAAATACCCGTTGCCAAGGATTGATGACTTATTTGATTAGTTACAAGGAGCTAGCCACTTCTCGAAGATTGATTTAAGATCAGGTTACCACCAGTTGAAAGTCTGAGAAGAAGATGTGCCAAAAACTGCTTTTAGAACTCGATATGGTCATTACGAGTTTATAGTAATGCCCTTTGGACTGACAAATGCTCCAGCAGCATTCATGGACCTGATGAATAGAGTATGTAGGCCGTATCTGGATAAGTTTGTCATCGTGTTCATAGACGACATTCTTATTTATTTAAAAAGCGAAAAAGAACATGAGAAACATTTAAGAACTATTCTGGAACTACTGATGAGAGAGAAGTTGTATGCCAAATTCTTGAAATGTGAATTCTGGTTACGAGAAGTGCAATTTCTCGGTCATGTGGTCAACTTGGAAGGAATTAAAGTGGATCTGTCAAAGATAGAGGCCGTCATGGATTAGGAGTCGCCAAAATCTGCATCCGAAATCCGAAGTTTTCTGGGTCTAGCAGGCTATTACCGAAGGTTTATCAAGGACTTCTCCAAAATAGCAATGCCTATGACCAATTTGACAAAGAAGTCAATTAAGTTTGATTGGGGAGAAAAACAAGAAGAGGCTTTCCAAATCCTCAAGACCAAGTTGAGTAGCGCGCCAGTCCTTGCCTTACCGGAAGGAACAGAAGACTTTGTTGTTTATAGTGACGTGTGACACCCAAAATTTCTCCCTCATTCTCTTATCTGTTCACAACCGAAGCTTTCTTCCCGTCATTAAGGTATTATATTATCGTTTATGTTTATAATAGGAACTTAGAGCATGTTACTTTTTGGGTCTTTCAAAAGAGAATATATATATATATATATATGTGTGTGTGTGTGTGTGTGTGTTTTATATTTTATGAGTTTAGTATTCTTTTTCTTTATATGATTTTTTTTAAATTGGGGATCTTTTTAATAATTGTCTAGTTGATATTTTAGGACTAGGTGTAAGAGTAGGAAAAGGGGGGGGGGGGTATTACCTCTTGTACTTTGACCCAAACTTGTGGACTTTCCCTCCTGACTTACCTCTTTGTTTGATGTCCTAGCCTGCTGTCCTTGGATTAGAAGCAGGGAGTCCTTTTACTTTGAGTGAGCTTTTCAAGGTCCTTGGGAGAGAAAGGTTGGGGGGAGAAGGCTGCCAGTCGAGAGTATTGGATGAGGGGGTATTCTCTCATCCAAGTTATTTAGAACCCTTCTAGGATTCACCTGCAGCTTCCGTCATCGACCTCAACTCCGGTCACGGTCTGCACACAGCGACTGCCTGCACGAGCTGCGCACAACTGCTACTACCGTGCCTTGCTCGTGTCTGTCCCCGAACTCCAGCCGGTTCTGTTTCTGCGCAGGGCTATTTCCACGTCTCTGCACACCGCTGTTCCCAAGTCCCCGTTTGCTGCTGTTTTCAGGTGAATTACTCCCGGGACTGCACGCCTGTGAACCCGCACACCCACTGCTGCAGTCACCGTGAGATCTGCACAGGGCTGTTTCTACATCTCTGCGCGCTGGTTGTTCCCGAGTCCCTTGCACGCGGCTGTCTCCGTGTTCCAGCAGTGCTGTCGTGGCTGAGTCAGGCAGTCTTCGCATTTCCTTTTTCCCTCAACGCGCCTCTGTTGCTGCCTCTTGGAGTAGGAGCAACTCCACTGTTTTAAATCCCACTTTGATTCACTTTCCAGTCCAAGTTTTGGACTTCTCCAAATCCTTCATGGTGAGTACATCTTAAGCTTTTACATGGAACTATATGCTATTGAAATAATACACTATAACCCACTTAGATGTAATGAATGGTTTTGGTCGAAGGAGATGAACTCGGATGAGCGCATTAATGAGAAAAATTGGATTGGGTAGATGGTTTTGATCACTTTAGGTAGAATAACCATTTCTCTAAGCATTATTAGACGTTGAATTATAAAAACCTTTCACTAAGTGGCATGGAGGATCATTCCTTCGATTTTCTTCATTAATGGCTATTTTGGTGAAATTCTTGAGTATTGATCTTAAAATCAATAATATAAATATGGTTAGATGGTATTTTGATTGTTGGAATAAAGATTAAATCCAAAATATGGATTTTAGCCTATTTAGTTGGTGAATTTGACAGCACCAAATCTACCCGAGATGCTGTTTTGAATGTGCGATAACTTCTTAACCGTAGCTTGGATTGCTACGATTCTGGACATTTTAGAGAGCTTATAAGTATCTAAACTTGTCCTTTAGACACTTTTTAGAAGTAAGACTTCTAGGTTGGTTATATTTGCGTCTCAAAAACTGATAAAAAGTTAATTTGAGCTGTGAATTATAGTGCCTAAAATGAGTTTAAATTAAGTTTGATTAAGTTTTTGTTGTCGGATCTTTATGAAACTTTGAGTACATATTACAGGTGTTAAATAAGCTCACTTGGTCCTTCCAGAGTGACTGTTGGACGATGTTTAGACGTATATGGACGTAGAGCCTAAGTTGGCTCGATTTTTGAGTATCGAAAAGCACTGTGAGTTTATGGGGCTACTTAACTTGCTATTTG